GGATATCGATTGCAAGTTGCAAGCGCGCGAGCGGCGGCGCGGGTGTGGTGGAGTCGCGAGTCACGACTCGTCGCGAGGTCGAGCGTATCGCATTTCGATTCCGATTCGACCGGCGCGGCGCCGAGTAAATCGACCTCGGCGATTGTCGAAGCGCGCGTTTGAAATTGCAGACACGCCGCGAGATCTAATCCCGCAATTTAAAAAAAAATTATGATGTGCACTACATGCGTTACTTTATTCTACCTACTGGTTAATTATGTACGGTGTTTGATAATATCACAATATCATAATTTTAATAACAAAACGATTGTCGTTCGCATAAAGTATCATTTATTAAATCTAATTTATTCACATTGCAATTGTATGTATCTTCGTGCCTCGTCTCAACTAGCGTAGAACTCCTTCAGATACTCGGCCTTCGGTTTCAGTATGACTCTATCCTTGAGACTGACCAGCCAGCCCGGTTCTAGACCGTAAAACATTTGCCGCGGATCCTTGCGCTCGCACAACATCTCGTAATCGGGATCGTCCTCGATCTTCGGTAATTCGTAGCCGTACTTTTGCGCCAGCACCAGTCGTTCGTGAGAGATCTTCTCGGGATCGGCCAGGTACCCTCTCGAAGCGGCGCTGGAATAATATTCTAAGCAATCCGTCGGTGGCGGAAGCCTACGCGGTATTGGTTCACCTATACATTATAGAAAAGGGGTCACGTATAAAAAACAAAAAGGCACTTAGATTATTTTCCAGAAGTGAAAGGTATATCCTTAAAACTACCTCTGTTGAAGAACAATTCTGTATCGGCCATGGCATGAAGGCAGTGCGTGTCATAGTAGGCGGTTGTAATTACACCACCATTTCTCTCAATCGCGGCGATCACAGGCTCGCTGGCCCACTGCACCTCTATGTTTATTTTGGCATTAAAGCAATGTGCCCCCTTGAAACAGAGAGTTCCCTTATTACATTCTCAGAATACACAATATATTGAAATCTATATTGTAAATCACGAGACATTACCTGATCTGTTAAATGAACTCCGGCATGTTTATAGTGCACATTTATATTGTACAAACCAGTGTTTATCAATGATACGAGATCGATTGGTCTACTGATATCCAGCCGATTTGTGTCGATATACATTTGCAGCATTTGTAAAGAGAGCGGTGGATATTCTCGTCTCAAGCTGAAAACGCACAGGATTTCTTTTCTTAGAAGAGAATCCAACATATATGGTTTATTACAAATCCATCAAACTTACTGATGTCCTTTGTAGTAAGGTTCCTTGCCAAATCTCAGATAAAAGGGGGTATTGCCAGTCTCGTAACCCAGACGCAAATAATTTTGTCTTTGGGTGGCGCCCTTGTTTCCACAACCATGCTTATTACCACCGTGTTGACCTCTACCGCGTTTCTGTATATGAGAATAATCAGGGAGATTAAAATAAAGTAACATCTTAACGTTATATTAAAAGTGTACGTGTAAGTGTATCTTGTAATGTAACTCAATAATTCTTATTTCGTTGCACGCAAAATATAAATATATAACTATGGCTGCGGTCCACTTGACACTACAAATGCTTCGAAGCATTCCTCTTCTCTTTTCTTTCAATGAAGAAAGAAGGAAAAGAAGAACGCTCCGAAACATTTGTAGCGTCAAGTGGACCGCAGCCTATATGATATATAATGGCATATAAATACTGTATTATAAATATTATAGTTACACTATTAAATATTATAATTAATAGATCATAGAAAATGAATCCAGTCTGACGTCGCAGTGTCACGCCGGATTAACATTCTAATTGCATAAATTCGTGTATTTAAACTTTCGTAAGCTGAAAAATTGTGTCTTCTGCGTTTTTGCGTTACAATTATCCTGTATAAAACTACATCTTACAGGCTGTTTCGTCGAGCCAGGATTATTTTTTATGTTTCCTAGCGACAGTCTAGGTAGCACTCTCAACATAGACAATGCCAGATCTTTTCCTTGCTTCCCAGCCATGTCGGTGTCAGTAACTCGTCGTTAACCAATTCTTCGATATAAATAAATTCGTAATTAATAACTGTGCTCGCTGATATTGAAGCATCCATAAACTTTCTAACCTAAAAAACTATCTCGCGCGACATCCACCTGCAGTCGGGCGGTATCGATTGATGGAAAGAATGAGAATGAATGAGGTGTAGACGGTGTAGAGTATTGTAGAGAGTGCAATTGAAAGTGACAGGTGACGGGTGACGGGAGGTATTTAACAAGCCAAGGATGGTGGCTGTTTTGAATGATTCCGACAGCGAGGACGAGCTGCCGCCTGGTTGGGAGGAGAGGACGACATTGGATGGAAACGTCTATTATGTAAAGTAATTATATGACGAGTGCACTTCCATGCGAAGTGGCCTTTGATCTCTCGATGGAAATCAAAGGTTGTTTTGCGCATCGTGCAGCTGGGATAAGAACGTAATTAACGAGATACCGTGTTGCAGTCACTATACCAAAGGCACGCAATGGACGCATCCTAGAACTGGTCGTAAAAAGATCGTCAACGGAGGTATATGTTTGATTTCTCTATTATTCATCATTTTATATCAGATCAGATGAGATTGATAGCGTTAAAACAAAAAAGTAGAACAATATGAGTATAATGTCATCAAATCATATTTCTTAACTTATTTAGAGAGTGTTTTAAAAGTGTTTTAATAGATAAGTCGATAGAAATAAAACACAAGATCTTTAAAAATCAAATAGATTTGCCAACTGGATGGGAGAGATGTATATCAGATGACGGTAAAGTTCTATACATTGATCACGCAAATCGTACAACAACCTACACCGATCCACGATTAGCATTCGCTACCGAGTACAGAGAGATGTCTCAAGTATTGCGACAAAGATTTGATGCAAGTAGCACTGCCCTGGCGGTGTTACATGGCCGAGATCTGCGCAACAAAGTTGCCCTCGTTACAGGAGCTAATGCAGGCATCGGTAAGTGAGAATAGTTATATAGCAATTATTCTTATTCTTTAACTAATTAACACTTTCTGCATACAGGATATGAAACAGCCAGATCATTAGCTTTACACGGCTGCGATGTAATATTAGCTTGTAGAGATGTGGAAAAGGCTAATGAAGCTATAAGGCGTATTCAACAAGAGAAGGATACTGCAAGTTGTGTAGCTTTAAAAATGGACTTGTCGTCACTGAGCAGCGTACGTGAAGCTGTCGAGGAGTTCAAGCTAAAATTCAAGTACGTTTATAACGCATAATTATAAATTATTTTGATATTACTTTGTTACTACGTGAAATTTTTCCTAATCTTTCAGGTCTCTGCACATTCTTATATTAAATGCCGGCGTGTTTGGAATACCTTATCAACTTACAGAGGACGGTTACGAGACGACGTTTCAAGTCAATCACCTGGCGCAGTTTTATTTGACGCTTCTGTTGAAACAGACTATACAGGACACCAACAATCCTAGGATCGTAGTGGTTTCCAGCGAATCGCACAGGTTGTATCTCGATATATTCTCCAATGTAATATTAATTAAATCGAGCATTTTTGTAACCAGATACATTTGTTATACAGATTTTCATTGATACGAACTGTAGAAGACCTTCATCAGTTAACTTTGTCTCCACCGGCATATAAATATTGGGCGATGAACGCATACAACGTATCGAAGCTCTGTAATATTCTATTTGCGCAAGAACTGGCGCGGCAATGGCCCTCCGTAAGCGTATTTGCTTGCCATCCCGGTAACATGGTGTCTACATCCCTATCGCGTCATTGGTGGATATACCGATTGTTGTTCGCTTTAGTACGGCCGTTCACGAAATCATTGGTATGTGTATGATATAAATCTCATAAATTCGAAATATAGGTTCCAATGGAAATCCGCACGAATATAGAAAACGGGCTAACTTTTACATATCTTCCAACCTTGAATTGAATCGATTTAATTAGGTGTAGGGGGGAGCGGGGGATTTTACTACTCCAACCGGAGCTGTGTTTCAAGTCTAACAAATTTAGTCGGCGCGCAGTAGGTTTGGAAGATATGTAAAATAGAAATAAAAATAAAACTTATGCGCATTGTTTACCGCGCCTGGTTCTTAGCCCGTTTTCTATATTCGTGCGTAAATCTCATAATTTATGCAAAGTGCTATAGGTTTAAACTTCGAAGAATGAACTTTAAAATAACACAAAAAGATAGATTTGTCCATCTTTTTCTTTCGTACTCTAACATTTCATACTCGAATGATATATTTATAAGAAGTCAACGAAAGTTTTCAGGTCTAATATAAGCTTATTCAGAGTTGCATTTTTCAATGCTTCATTCTTTGTATTACGCGCGTTGTATTACGCGCTTCTGATTTATGTTTATGTTATAATCTTGAAGAACAGATAGGATAATGAATTAAATAAAACGCATTGCAGCAACAAGGAGCGAGCACGACAGTATTCTGCGCTACTGCACCCGAGTTGGAGGGTGTAACAGGTAGCTACTTCAACAACTGTTGTCGTTGTCAACCAACGAATGCTGCGCTGGATCCTGCATTAGCTGCGCGATTGTGGACTCTCAGTCAGGATATGATAGCAGATGCTTTAAAAAGAGATAGGGATAATTGCGGAGACTAAAGCATTAGCTTTATAGATCAAATCTAAAGAAATACTAATATTTTTATATTATTATATTATAATATAAAACCCGAGTGTCTCTGTCTGTCTGTCTGTCCGCGAACTATTTATTCGTTAATGGATCGAATTTCAACGCATTGTATATGAAGTATACTTTGTCTAAAATGTATAATTTTTCGTTGCCGATCTTTTTGAAAACCGGTTCCGACATTTTTCCAATTTCTCGGGAAATAATTGACCGAATCTTAAACGGGGATTGCCATGATGTGTATAATAATATGCAATTTGTACATTTATAAGAAATAATTAAACTATTGGTGATTTGTAGTAGATTGGTAAAGATGAAAGAATATTATTGTTGGAATTTGAATAAAAATGATAACAGCACAATACGATACTATTTTTAGCTTTGAACTTTCTTATATTCGTTGAAAGATCATGTAATCCATTTACTGCATTGACCCACTCTTCCAACAAGCTTCGCTTATCTCTCTGGTGAAACCGAGTGCGTTTTTTTACATCAGTGCAACGAGAATATATGTTACGCATGCCGGATTTTATAGGTCAGTTGTCTGGTGAGATCAGCAACCGCCAATTACCTGAATATCATGTCGCAATGAAACGTTGGGGATCGGTACCCTGAACGCGATGGCTGAAATCTTGCCTTTCAACTCGGGAATAATTTTGGTTAATGACTTGGCCGCGCCGATCGCGGTCGGAATGATATTCTGGAGTGCGCTTCTACCGTCCCTCCACAATGCCGTAGGTCGAAACTGCAACAAAATATAATCGCGCAAAGCACACACATGAAACTTTTATAACGATTATTTAGGTTCTTTAACCCGCTGTGCAAGAATAAATAATTATATATATATATATATAAATAGGACAAAAATATATTCTATTGCGCCACAGATTTATAATTGAATGACCGGAAAAGACGTGCATTTTTTTTTATCAATCTTTTATTTTTCACTCATGCTCATCGGATTAAATAAATAAAGAGAGAAAAAGCGTAAAGCAGGAGAACTTATTTCTTAGAACAAGTCATTATTAAGGAACCTTTTCTACCGGACCGTCCACGGTATTTTGAGATGCTGTCACCGCGTGTATGCTGGTGATCATCGCCTCGAGGACCTCGAAGTTGTCGTGCATGATTTTGACAATTGGAGCTGCGCAGTTCGTGGTGCAGGACGTCGCAAAAATGACACCGTCTCACTTGGGATTGTAACAAGTGTGATTGACTCCGAAAACGAGCATCGGTGCATCGATCGACGGTGCGGTGATGATAACTCTTTTTGCACCGCCGTCGATGTGCAACTGCATAATAGACTATTTTTATTTTTGATACAGATACGTCGGGTAATTTAACATATGATATAGGATGCTGCTGAAGATTATAGAATACTAGAATAGTTTGAGGAGATTTACATATTCCTTGTCGCTTGTAACATTTGCTCCGAGCTTTCCCGTAATCCCATACACTATAGTAGCTCTTGGATTTCCATGCGCTGGACATTTGCATCTAAAAATTCAGAATAATTTAAAGTTTATATTCCGCGTTTGCCATTAAATTTTTAACATCATTCTATCCCAAAATAAGTCCATTGAGAATCGTTATCGAATTAATGCGCTACCTGCTTTATTATAATGGATTGACACACGTAGACTCGTCTAGCTGACAGATATCGTCACTGATATCGTCACTGATATCGTCACTGATATTGTTATCCTCCCCTCCTTTCATATTTCTTACGTTTCTTATATATTTTTATAAAGCCGATAGAAATTACTTTTACTACTTTAACAATATAAAATAGCATTCTCTAAATATTATATTTATGGCTGGTAAGATATTATTCTTAGATAAGTAAAGACATAATCTATTTTCTTAAATAAATTTATTTCTATCATATTTATTGATTTGTGATATAATTAAATGTGCATTAAAACACTTTGTGATTTATTTGACGACGTCACTATATTATTTCTTTTTATATAAAAATTTTTAAATATGCCTTACGCATATATCTAGTTTACGACTGGGATGAAATCACTTGCAGAAGATCAATGACGCGTCGTCTCGGCAGCATCTTAAATATTTTTTTAGGAGTGATCGTCTAAAAGAAATAGTAAATAAGTAGCACTGTCTGGAGCGAATTTTAACCGGTCTTTCGATTGAAAATGTTGCGGAGTAACGTTCTCCACGAACTCTCGTGCTTCATTCACGACTTGATAAATCTACAACCAGTTCGTACTCCCCCTCCTTTTACTGCACGTGTTTATCACTTCTTCAGGTCTTTGATGAGGTGGCTCTATTATCCATGTGTTCGTATTCATATGTGAGCAGGACTGTATCAATAGAACTTTATCGAGCTATGTTTAGTGCTGCTCGTTTAGTCTCGTTCAGACTAGAAGATAATTTTTAAAATCCCGATTTTTTAAACAAAAATCTGACCATTTAAAGTGAATCAAATTTGTTACTTAAAAAAATGTTAAATAAAAAAAGTCACTTGTTAATACGAAAAGAAAAATATAATACTTTATTTAATATATTTTTACGGATGACTTATCAAAGAGATTTTATTCATATTAAACATAGATTTTTTAAATGTAATATTGTAAAACCTTGCCGCTCTTTTTACCATTAGAATTTTTTAATAACATATTAAATTTATTAAATAACATTTATATTTAATAATTTTCAACTGCGTTGCATAATTATGTGTTGTGAAAGTCTACAATTGTAAAATAATAATAAACAATCGCGGATGTGTGTGTGTGTGTGTGTGCGTATGTCGCGTTTAGCAAACAATAAGTTTGATTCATGCGAATCTACATAACAATGAATATTTAAGATATCTTTCAGTTTTTCTAGCACCAATGAACCACTTGTCGGATGGATAGAGAATATATGTTTGGGCCACTAGGCCTTATGGCTTCGCTGCACACAGGACGCGGAAACGCTTGCCGCGCGGCAAGAAGCGACGCGGTAGCCGATCAACGTGTTGTTTTTCCGTAAGAATCAAAAGTTTATTGGCTACCGCGTCGCTTCTTGCCGCGCAAGCGTTTCTGCGTCCTGTGTGCAGAAGCCATTATGATGCTTCGCTACTTGGAATCACAAGATTTTATCGTTATACTTTCGATTCCGGAACAGAAATATAGTGCCCGTCGACTTTGCGGTAATTTTTTAATCGCTAGTGCGTGGGACGTCTTTAATCGATTCAGGTATAAATGATCAGGTACTTGACCAACATGCTCCGTATAGCTAATTTAATCTAAATTTTATTTCTTCTATTTTGAACATTGTCACCAAATAATGGCATAATAATGGTTCAACCTCATAAATTGTTTAGATTGTTTTTTAGACACTTGTTGTGATTGTTGTGATTTTTATTAAGGCAAATATGTTTTCAAAGGTCAAAAGTGAAATTTTTTGCGCGTCGAAATCTTTAAATATTTTAAATTCTATTTTCTCTCCGAATCTCGAGATACGGTTTTATAGTCAATTGTGCGCCGACCAAAATAGACTTACGACACACCCGTGGAGTAATAAAATCCTGTCTCTTTTCGCTATACATTCTTTACAGTCATTTTGATGCTAATATTAGACTACTAATTGTAAGATCCAAGCTCGGACTATAAATGGCATTTTATACTAATTTGATTAACAAATAAAGTTAACAATGGATATTGAATACGCAATATTATCTCAAATCTATTATATAAATTTACATTCTATATTATAATGTACAATTATTGGGAAATAAATGCATTTAAACAGTTGAAAAGTTTTTTTCAAATATAAAGTGCAAGCCTATATAATAATATTTGTTCCACTCGCGCTGAGACCTTCAGTGCAGCGCGCGTACGGCCCAGAACGTCTAGACTCTAGGGCATCACAGACTAGACCGAGAGCTGGCTACGAAAATACCAACGTCATTTGTTTAAGGAAATTTTCAACCTCAAACGATTGTGGCAATGTTGCAAATTAAGAAAAGACAAGTCTGGCTGCTGGCCGCTGGTGCGTTTAGGGTAAGCGTACGGCCTTAGGTGTAAAATATCGAGGGTAAAAAACGTCATATCTGTAAGGCTAAAAATTTTTTTGCTTGTATTATATAATATTGTAAAATACTTGCAAATGTTGCCAGACCTGTAGGTGGGGTCTAAAGTATTGCCAGATCAGGGTATAACTGCTTAAGACTTGATAACATTCACGTCATTTCTGTAAAGTTGAAATTTTTTTTGCTTATTGTATACGTGTTTAATAATCTGTATATGAAATGACAGACAAAAATCTCGGGTCTAACACCGTGCCAGACGTCGTCGAAAATCTCAGTATCTATGGAAGTACTATAAATTGCAGGCAGCAACAATTAATTTTATCACTTAAATTTTTCACGTATTAAATTTAAAATGTTTTCTGCTAATAACAATAATATTTACGAACGGTTTAGACCTGTTATTGCTCAAATCTCGTGCGGCTAGAAGCCGCCTGTCCCTCTAATTGTAAGAAGATTTGTTTGACGTTGGTAGTAAAAACCCGCCGGCCGAAGCCGGGGGCCTTCGAGATACCATAATGTACGCCTATTTAGATGACGTTTGGTGGTCTGTTGGTGGTGCTTGGTAGTCCATTCCCGATGATTAGTAGGCATAAATATAATTAATAATGCGAAAAAATACATATGCGCGTGAAAATAGCTCCCCTCTTGTAAAACTCGGCTTTCCAGACTGCGTATAATCATTATAACTGATATTCGTTTGGTGGTCGCGTGCTGACGTTTGGTAGTCCAATTCCGTTGGTTGTTAGTCAAAACTGTAATTAATAATACGAAAAAAAGACATACGCGCGTGAAGTTAGTCCGGTCGGACTAATTTAGAAAACTTGATAGATTTTATAAAAATATCGATTTTTAATTACTATAATAATTGCAAATATGTATATGCAAAGAACGTAAAATATTTTACGATAAACCTATTTTTATAAAAATATAAAAATTTATAATAAAATTGTATGATCACATTATTATCAGCTATATAAATTGATAACATCAGTTGTACCTGAATTTTTTAAATGTTGTTAGCACGCACACAAAACAAGGTGTAATCTGTTAAATTTTTGTCTATATATTATTCATTTTTTATTTATTTTATATTTTTGTAACTAAATATTGCTTAATTAGGGTAAACTCGGGTATGATGGCCATACGGAAAAGATGGCCATTAAATTTGGCGCCCAACGTGGGGCCCACAAAAATTTAAACGTTGACGTTGGTTTGGCGAATCATTCTGGTTGCGAATTTTTGTGTTGATTTTTGTAATTTTGTGGATATTGATGAGTTCGGTATATGATGTCGGTAGATAGCGCATATGATTTTGGCCACAGAGTTTGATTCTCAATAGTGACTTCCCTGCATGCAAAGTAAAGAAAAACCTACCAGACTGTGAGACCGTTATGGTGAGAAAATGTGTAAGTAGGCACTCGACAATCAAACGTTGGTACCCAGAATAAGGGAAGTTTATGGAGATATGCGCGACCTACCTAATGCAATCCTCCCGATAGATTATCTGTTCTGTCGTTATTTGATTTGAGTTGTACTGATTGAATTTATCTTTATATTGTGAGGCTGGAAGCGAACCGCTCGCCATTATCGGATATTACCATGGCCAGGAAACTTTGGGTGGGCTGAGTGTATAACGAGTTCGTATTGCTGCCGACTTGTTATCGTGAAACCGCGCGGTGTTTACGTTTCGAGCCTTTGGTATTTGGAGCAAAAGGTGGTGTGGCCTTTTCCACACCTGACGCCCAACACATTTCGCGTTCGTATCCTGAGAGCACCCGCTCTGTATCATTGTGACGCTGGACCTTTATACTGTGGTGCCTAACCGCCACGCGGCAGTATAAAATAGCGTCGCAAAAATTTGGCTGTAATTTCTCCAATAATGGCTAAACAGTGCATTTTTGTAGTCATTCTCAAAGATAATCGATATTTACAGTAGTTTATGTGCGTACACTATTCAAAATGACAATATTGTGAATATTATATCATATTTTTACTTTCGACTGCCTGCAAAGTTTTTCATGTGTCCGCTAAAAGCTGCTATAACATTAAATAAATTATAGTTAAGCTGCCGTAATCAACGTTACACACATAATTAAGCTATGTAAATTGTAATTTGACCTATAATTTGTATTTCTATTTTTCACTATTTATTTAAAAATACTATGGTTATCTTTTCTCCTATGGCCATCTTTTCCTTAAAAGTCAGATAAGATGGCCAATGCATACGTTGTAATACTTTGATAATATAAAATTTATGTTAAGTGTTTTCTTCTTAATTTCGACAGTTTTACGTACTTTAAGCTTCAGAAGGAATATACCAAACACTGTTAAAATATAACAAAAATAAATGTATGTTTATTGCATTTTAAAAAACTATGGCCATCTTACCCGAGTTTACCCTATATTAAGCAATAGTGTGAAATATTCATGAGGTACGATTTAGGCGATACGCATTCAACAACTCTCCTTTACGTTATGTTAATAATAAAGTTGTAGAAATGCTGGGAATAAAATTTTTTTCTCAAGAAGCCTTGACTTTTTATTTCTCCACGAAAACGGGAATGATCGCATAATTTATAAGGCTAGATTCGGGGAGCGCGCTGTTAACGCTAATTACTTATTCTATCCTTGTTTTACACCTGATGAGCGATAAAGACAGAATGATTCAATAGCGCTAATAGCACGCGCTCTCCGAACGCAGCCTAAAACAACAAGTTTTCTCTCACAGTCTTCAGTCTTCGGAGTGGCAAGCAGTCGTCAACATGGCAAGCAGAACACCAATACAAACCTTTTACGCCGGAGAGGCGATATTCATTACAGGTATTAATCTATTTTTGCTTGCAAATTTCTTTAACTGTAAATTTCGCAAAATTACGACATGATAGAATAATTTAGCAAGCGGAATCGTATTCAGCGTTTTTGTTCCTGTGCTTTTGCTTTCTCATAGAGGAAGCTTTTTCGTAAAAAATTTTTTTTGGAAAAAGGAACATTTTTTAGACAATTTTGTATGAGGGCTCTTTTTTTATTTTTATTTTTATTTTCTCATATTTTTTATTGAACAGTGTAATATTTTTAATAAAATAATTGATGCTATTTAATGTTTAATATTCTTAAAATGTCTTTGAAGCTAATATTTGTTTATTGTTTGTTCTTCATCAGAACAACCGAAAAATATCCTATAATTAAGATATCGACAAAATTTAAATTATATTTATTTTGAATATTCCTTAAATTTTCAAACAACATTTTGTGCTATCTCGTACATATACAGGGTGCCATGTAATATGCGGACCAATGTTCGTGAGCAGGTAGAGCGGATAAAACTGATTTGCGAAAAGTCCTTTACGTTTTGTATGCTTCTTAATAATCAATGAAAAATTAATTAATAAAATACGCGAATCAGGATGCGTCCATGCTATTGGATGAGAAGCTGCAGTCCAACGTTCAGGTAGCTAAACGCGTGGCGAGACATCGGAAGGAACGCTAAGTAAATAATAAATGGCTATACATGGAGCGACGATCGTGCACAGCCATTGTTATTTATAAAACGCTTCTCCTAATATTTCGTTACACGTATAGCAACGTGACACCCTGTATATGTCACTGAAAAAAAAATGCCGCTAAATTAAAAAAAAATGTGATTGCTTCAATTAAACGTCGACGTCACGGGCTGCTAGAAAAATAAATAGTTCATTTAATTGTATTTGCTATTGATTTTTATTTTAAAAATGTATATTAAAAGAACAATGTATAAATTTCAATTAATGATATAGGATATATAATGTCATTTTTAAAGACATAGTCGCTTTTTGGTCATTTGACGTCATTTGTACAAACATGACTAGTATTTGACGTCAAAATGACTTGTGTTTGCTACCTGGGATTGCATTAAATGTACATTAAATTGTAAGAACGTTACTAAATTACGAATTGAATTACATTGTAATCTAGGATAATAATATATATGATTGTTAGAATGACGTACATTATTCTTTCATTATAAATTTTACTGGAATCAACTCATTTGAAATTTATATTAATTAATTTTAAAGTAATATACAACAAATGTTGTATTGTATCAACTTAAAATGGAATAAATGCAACCGTACTTCTACTTAAATCTTGTACAAGTTATATTTTATTTGATTGATCATATAATCCAATATACAAATTATACATTTAGTTGTTTTATACGTACGATTGATTTAATCATTGTCGCTTGCCCTGAGAATAAAAAAGTGATTGTTTTAAAAGTATTTTTATTTGTAATATATATCAGTTTGTTTTAAAGGTAAACACAAAATTATTTGATTACATTTTTCATACAGATGAAGCTACATTAGGTATAATTATATTAAACTTAAATATATTTTAATTGATTAAATATGTTATTTAATATATAACCTATACGTTTCGCTCAATTATATTAACTATTAAATGAACCATTAATGCTTGCTCTAAGAATAAGAAAACTGGTTTTGAAAGCAAGTGAATTTATTTTTTAGATCATTTAATATTATATGTAATTCGCAGAATTATTAATGTCTACTAATGTGATTACCAAATAACATGACAGTATGTTTGAAACATACAATCGTTGCTGTTGTTTTAAATAAATGTAGAATTCGTAAAAGCTGTTTTTGTTGTTTTTTTCTTTAAAAAAGAGAAAATTATAAATAATTTTCGATTTAATGTAAGCAATTAATCCTTACATTAAATAGGTAAAGAATAATTGTTTAATAAGCGGTATTACTTGACCAAACTGACGCTTTATATTAATTCAATCCTCGACGTTTCGACACTCGTTTTGTGTCGTTATCCAGAGTACTAAACCTACGAAGTCATGTTACATAATAATATATCGCAACAAGGAACAAAGGACGTAGGAACGAAAATTATATACCTATCTCATATTAGTCGCACGTGAATTTCTCGCAGTTTATCACTTGGTCAGATTTCGATGTTGTCTAATTATTAAAATGAAGGAGCCGCGATCCATCCTGAATTAACAATGCGATGTAGTACACAAGGTTAAGAGGTAACCGGAACGAATAATATATCGTTGCGATATATTATTATGTAACATGACTTCATAGATTTAGTACTCTGGATAAGGACACAAAACGAGTGTCGAAACGTCGAGGATTGAATTAATGTAAAGCGTCAGTTTGGTCAAATGATACCGCTTATTAAATTTCACTGACGAAGAAAAGAAGTTTTTAATAATTGTTTACATTGAATCGAAAATTATTTATATTTTCCTCTTTTTTTAAAGAAAAATACATAAATAGCTTTTACAAATTGTACATCTATTTAAAACAACAGCAACGATTGTATGTTTCAAACATACTATCGTTTATTTGATAATCACATTAGTAGACATTAATAATTATGCAAATTATACATGTAATTAAAGTAATAGAATATGATAGAAGTTTTAACATTACATTATTTTAATGTGGCAACATGGACAACGTTACAAACTAGGAATTGTGTTACAAATAACGCAAAATACAATATCGTTACATAATTGTGAAAGGTGAGAAAGTTAAAAAAATTAAATGTTTTTTTGTTACAAAGAACTTTATTAGAATTATCACAAAAACACTTACATATTATCATATTATCACATAACATACTTAAACACTATGAACAGTTTAAAGCACAGAAATATTGTTTTTACCCTCAATAAAATTATTATTACAAGCTTTATAAATCACAAAAAAAAAGAAATTTCTTAGATTAATCGCAAAAAACACTTATATATACGTACTTATATAATCACATCGCATAATTTAAACTATGAACAGTTTATCTCATATGCGTAAAAGTGAAATTGTACTGTTTTTAGTTTCTTATCACCATCGTTCATAAGTTCGGGAACGCTTGCGATTTTCTCGTCTCTCACGGAAAGTTAAATTTAAAAAATGTGGAAAAAATTTACGCGAATTAAGCACATTATAACAAACATTTTTTTCCTTTATGTTTCTTTTGCAAATTCTTTAGTTTTGAAGTTAAAAAACATTATATAAAAAATGATACAATAATTTCTTCCAATAATATCGAACTTCTTGTGTAAGAACTCATTTTTTATATAATGTTTTTTAACTTCAAAACTGAAAAATTTATAAAAAAAAACAAAAAAGAAAAATGTTTCTTATAATGTGTGATTGTGTGATTCGCGTTCAAAATTTTTTTAACTTAACTTTTATATAACTTTTCGTGAGAGACGAGAAAATCGCAAGCGTTCGCGAACTTATGAACGGTAGTGTATATAAAGAAGGTTTCATGTAAATTATTTTAGCAATGCAAGAGTTAAAATTACAGAAGAGAAAGCTGAATAGTGAAGGGAAGAGTTTAAAGCGCTGGAATATAGCTTTTACTCTCAATAAAATGCTTATTACAAGTTTTATACATCTCAAGTTTTGAATGAGCCATAAATTTCCAAGACTGTGTGTCTTCTATCTCATATGCGTAAAAATGAGAATTAAATTGCACTGTTTTTAGTTCCTTATATATAAAGAAAGTTTCATGCAAATCATTTTTTAAAATATATTAAATATTGCCAAATTTGCTATTAGTTTTATCTGTTTGGTTTATAAAATGTTCCATTAACCTTTATCCAAGATAAAGATTTATAACTATCAAAAGAAACAAACGGTAGTATATATTTAAAATTATTGAAAAGGTCGATATCCATTAAATTTTCATGTAAGATGACACCCTACTCTAAGCGATTTTCAAACCCCTTATTTGAGATAAATCTACAATTTAATTGTAGTTGATGTTTCATAGCTAATGAATATGCAGCATTGATGTAATAGCATTTGCAGTCTGTTTAAGTTCTTTGTGTTTTGCTTCGAATCGTATGGACGACGTATATTTGAGAGGACCTATCTGTTGCATAACTCGTGGGTAATGAAGTAAAAATAGTTTCAAGCATACTCGCGTATTGTTCCTTGATACCACCGATAGTGCAATATACTACTCCAAGCTTATGTAAACCTCGATGAGTACCTAATGGATTATTTATCTCCAATTCATCACAATAAAAAATCAAAGGTAATACATCGTTGTTATGCAGTTTAGAATGCCATATTTCATTCTGTAATATACTTGTTATTATTTCGTTCTGTTCACTTTTTCTAATGTTTGACATTATTTTGTCATATTTTACATCAAGCAACTCTAAAAAGATTTTTAATATTTTTTTGAGAGGTATAATGCACATTTTTCGATTTCTTACGAGCATGTGTTTAGCAGTATTCATAAGTTTAGAATCAATAAATGCACCGATGCATATTTCTTGCGGTACTATTAAAGAATTCAATGATTTAAAATAAATCAATAATATTTAAGCGCAATATCTGACAAATAACTGATTTGTAGCAATATACACAAAGTATATACAGATTAAATAAATTTATATTTGAATCAACAAGATGGTGCATATATAGTAACCATAATAGCATTAACCGTACTGTTGATTTTCTTTAAGTATTTCACGCAGTTGAAGTGACAGCAGATGTAGTTACATAGATTACATGGTATTCAATTATACATCAAGAAAGTTATTTAATTCATATGTAATTATAATAAAGAATTATATTAGGGCGGCAGTGTGGTCTAGTGGTAGAGCGCCAGACTCGTAATCTGAGGAACCAGGTTCGAGTCCACTAGAGCCATGTAAACATGGAATGTTTTTCCGGAAGCTGCGCCCCTCCGTGCAAGATAGGCTCTTGTGCGAAGCAAACTGGGCTCCAAATTTTACAGAAAATAAAGAATTATGTGTTTGGGATGAGTAGATATATATATATGATTGATATAACGAAATATTCCAGCTACAATGATATTAATATCTGATGGATTATGAATCAACTATCTGATGCATTTCGTTCATTAATATTGAAGTTGCATCAACCGATTTTATTTCAATTACGCACTGATGCTGTTGATACAACATCATTTTTTTTTTTCAGTGATATATACACGTACATAATGTATATCACTTTGTTATTTTGTTTTATAGGAGGGACTGGTTTTGTTGGAAAACTTTTAACTGAAAAACTGTTACGAAGTTGCCCCGATATTTCAAGAATATATCTGCTGATACGTTTGAAAAAAGACAAATGTCCCAAAAGCCGACTGGACGAGATGTTTGAGAAACCTGTGAGTATCTCGAAAACAATATCGAAACATGATGTATATTTGTAAATGATCGTTAATAAAATCTGTAATCCATAGGTTTTTGACCGAGTAAAAGAAGAGGTACCCAATTTCCGCAAAAAAATCGTACCGGTCATAGGCGATCTCGAGACAGAAGACTTCGGATTGTCAGAAAATGACGAGAACATGCTGATAAATCAGGTAATTAATTCAGATTATCAATATCATTAAATTGTCTATACTACTACATTCTAATACAATAAATAATGTATTGCATATTTATAAAAGCATTACATTTTACATTTATCTAATTATAATTATCGATGCAATTAAAAATAAATTCTGTACCTTATTCTACTTAAAGCATGTATATTTATTATAGGTATCCATAATTTTTCACATAGCAGCAAATGTGAGATTTAATGAAAATATTAAAACTTCTACGATGATAAATGTTAATGCCACCGCCACCATCTTAAAACTTGCAAAGCGCATGCCAAATTTAAAGGTGATTCCTTTATCTAATATGTGTTCCAGTAATAATAATTAGCAAAAAATTATGGTAATTATTTACAAAAAGACCCCACTCGCCAATGACCTTGCTAGAATGTATCCGCTGTAAAATTAATACACACAATAAACAAAATTTTTACAAAGCGAAAACAATTAATTATATATTTTTCAATGTATGAACTATTCTCTGTTTTACATGACTTTCCTTCGTTTATAGTTACCTTATTTCCACATACATGGTCTTCTAATACTCAAAATAGCTGCTATATATTTTTCAAACTTTTTTTGTTAATAACTTTTTAATAAAAAACGACCACCGGCTAAAACCTTTTGAAGGTCACTCAAGAGGATAACCTTGACAACATATGTCAAAATTAAGGTCATTGGCGAGTGGAGTCTTTTTGTAAATAATTACCAAAATTATTTATATTTTGCAATTTTTTTACTAATTTAAAAAAAAACATAAATTACGCTTAACATTTAATTTGCAGTCACTTATTCACACATCAACAATATATGCAAACTGCCATGTAAAACATATTAAAGAGCGATTCTACTCGTATCCAATCAACTACAAAGACCTTATCATATTCACACGGAACTTAAATGAAAACATAATGGAGGAAAAAATATCTAGGTAATTCTTTGATGCTTAATATAACATAATAATTAAATATATTAATAAAGAAAGATATTCTACTGTTTGGCTAGAATCATGTCACAATGGCCGAATACATATACATTCACGAAAGCAATTGCGGAAGGACTTCTCAGAGACGAAATGGGAGATTTGCCAGTAGGAATATTTCGACCTGCAATAGGTAACAGAATAATTATAAAAACCAGCAGTTTTCTTGCTAAAAAATTTATTAAATAACATTTATATATAATTATTTTCAACTGCTTTGCATAATTGTGTGCTATAAAACTCTATAATTATAAAATAATAATAAACAATCGCGGCTGTGTGTGTATCGCGTTTAGCTAACAATAAGTTTGATTTTTGCGAATCTACATAATTAAGATCTCTTTCAGTTTTATCTAGCGCCAATGAACCACTTGTTGGATGGATAGACAATATGTATGGCCCATTGGGGATCACAGTAACTTCGCTACTTGGTATCACAAGATTTCATCGTTATAATCCCGATATCAAGGCAAATATAGTGCCTGCCGACTTCACCGTTAATGGTTTAATCGCTAGTGCGTGGGACGTTGGTAATAATCAATTCAGGTATGATCAGGTATTTGACCCACATCTCCGTAGCTAATTTACATAGAATTTTATTTTTACTATTTTGAACATTGTCATCAGAGAATAGCCATCATAATAATGGTTCAACCTTTTAAGTTATTTAGATCATTTTTTAAACATGATTTTTAAGTGCTGGTATAGAACCTTGTTTTAAAGGATATTTAAGCTCTAAGCCGTAAGAAATTGACCAATCACAGTAGAACATGAGGAAAATACTCGACGGTGATTGGTCAATTTCTTACGGCTTAGAGCTGAAATACCCTCTAAAGCAAGGTTGTAGACCAGCACTAATGATTTATTATACGTACATTTATATTATTTCTTAATGCTTGTAACAAACTAACATCATGAAGATATAACAATTGAATATGAAAGTTAACAGATCAGAAAAGTAAAAGAATTAGAATTCAGTTGTTATTATTCTTTACCTATCTAGAATATCGCAAATATTCTTTTATTTATCTATATGTATCTGACAGGCCCACCAACTACTTTTTACATAATTATAAATATTAATTATAATTAAATAAAACTATTTCAAAATACTGTAATTTGTGTGGAAAGGGGCATATTTTTGAAAAGCATGGAACTCGGACAAATATATGGTATTTAAATACGTTAATTACTTACAATTAGGTATTACCGTAATCACATTCACATATGAACATTAGGATATGATTATAAATGACTCTAATATGTAAAGATGTATAATGTACAACGTAATTGTGTTTAAATTTATTTTGTAGGAGAGGCAAGGATACATTTATTTACAATTTCGTGTCACCAGACGATAGACCTACATGGAATAAATACCGTTATACACTTCTTGAAGCAAACAAGATGTACCCTTTACGCAATGCCGTATATTTCCCCTTAATGATTTACTTTAAACGAAAAATACCTTATAGAATTTGCGTTTGGCTGGGTCATTTCCTTCCGGCCTTATTTATAGATGCTATAAACATCTGCGTAAATCGCAGCCCAAGGTATCACGTAAATTAAAGTGTTGTTCCTATTGCTTGATATATATCATAGTTGGCATTTCTCGAGACCAAATAAGATTTCATCTATAATATGGAAAATTATAATAGTTTTATATGTATTTCAGAATGTGGAAGTTATATAAGAAGTTAGACATATTTTCCGACGCGACCCAACCGTTTTGCAATAATGAATGGAAATTTTCGACTGACAATGTTCAAGCGATGTGGAATCGTTTGAGTGAGGAAGATCAGCAATTATTTAAATTTAGCATGATTGAATTTGACTGGACAAAATATTTAATTGATCTTTATATGGGCATACGTCTTTATTTATTAAATGAAAATGATAGTACTTTAGAAATGAGCCGCATCAAGTATAAGAGGTAACAGATACTTTTTAATTTTTCATTAATTTTGTTGGTTTAAGTTCAGTTTTTGTTAATAAAAAAAATCTTTTTAATTTTTTAGATTTTATTGGACGCACCAAACGTTTAAAATTGTTTTGATCTTTGCCATATTTTGGATTGTTTGGATCGTATTTACAATTATGTGTACATAAATTTACATATTCGTTATATATGTATATGTTTCATATGTATTATTTTTCTTTATATTACAAATACTTTAGGGAATACTTTAGAGAACTTCTTTCTAATGTTGTAAATCTTGCCAAATATGTATATAACTCAAAGTAACTTTTAGACAGATTTAGTTATCGTTAACTGTACCGGAAATAAGTTGGCGCTGGAAGTTCATATTTTTTAATAAACTATAGCTCAAACGATTGCTCCCTAATTGCTCCCTCAGAATCAACAATTGTTCCTCTTTAAAAATTATTTTTTGAGATATTTAATAAAAACAAAGAATTTCTAATTTTCATTGAAAAACATATTTATAATAACTCTATGCAACTAAATCCGGCATAGAACGATTGCTCCTTCATTGCTCCTTATTGCTCCGTCATTATTTTAATGATTTATTGCATACTTTATTGAAAAATTAACAAATTAAGGGTCGACAAGAGTAACACGGAATTTTCAGATACCAAGGGTTTAGTTCATCTATATGTAAATAAAGGATGTACTGGAGGATGCTTACGTTCGCTTATGAGATATTTAAGCGAAATTCAAGGATGGATATCTTCAGAATATATATGTAATTATATAACAAATGTAATTGAAATTAATTTTCAATTTCATTACATATGGGATTTATCATGAAAAAAAAGAATAGGAATAATTTTGCTTTCAATAAAATTATATTCGAATTTAACACATCAAACTACATAATATATTGTTAAATTTCAGCCAAATCGGTAAGGAAGCCACTTATTTATTACCATCCCCACCATTCCACATCATCTTCATGCACTCCCTTTTGATATTCAAGGATAGACACGTGTGGATATTTTTCCTTCGCCTGAGCAATGAACGCCTGCCTATCACGTGTGTCGTCGTCGGGCCATTTCCGCATAACATAGATTGTATGCAGTTTAGGACACTGCTCAAGAATTGCGAAACTAGATATATCCCACAAGTATAATTGTCTTAAGTTTTTACACAGTGTCAGTCCTTCGTAGACACACTCATTGATGGAAGATTGATCTCTGTGTAGATCTATCAAATTGACTTCTTCTAAGCACTGACAGAAGGAAAACAATCTACGCCAGCTATGCTTATCGATTGTGTGGATTGTGCCATCTCTGTTGCTGTAGTTCCTGGAACAAAAGTCATATTATTATGCGGTTTTTCAATCGCAATAAGAAAAACAACATAATCGTTTTATGATGTTTGCAAGAAATTTAAATACACATTTTGATAAAAAATAATATGTGTTTTAAAAGAAAATGTAGCACACACGTACATCTCCATCATTGTCAGTTTTCGTAAATTCTTGCATTCAGCGAGAGCATGAATACCTCGCGATGTAATCATGTGGCTCGATAAATCTATTATTTCCAAATCTGGACACGAATTTTTTAACTGTATTGTAATTGCGTCCAAATGTAGTGCTTCGAACGGTGTCTTGTCCCAGCCTAACCAATCACCTTGACGAAGAAAAAAGTTTAAATTTAACTCACGCATCCGGCGAGTTTTTTGCAGTATTTTGCAAAGAGGTTCAGGTCTTATATCTGAATCTCTAACGTCTAAATTCTCTAGAAATTCTAGATTTTCGAGACTCGAAACTTCTTGGTCCATTCTCCCCAGAGGACAATAACTAAGATCCAATACTAAAAAAAAATGTATATATTGGTCATATACAGTTTATCTGTAATCTTAACAATCATATTTATTTATGTACCTTTCAAATTTTTGCATATCTGTGAAATTTTTAATAGAGATAATTTGTCAACAAAATTGCAGTGACTTAATCGTAAGTGCGTTAAACAATGGCCGCAACTCTGAAGAAAGTTTACAAAATCCAGTTCAGAAATGCAGCTCGCCGTAAGATCCAACTGTTGTAAATCTTTACATTTAGATGCAAAATAAAACAGAATTTTATCATAACAAAAGTATGAATCCTTAGAGTATTCTTTTTTTAAATTTCTTAAGTTCAAACTTCTGAAGAGAATAGGATCCTGTGTTAAATTATTTAGGCGTTTATTTACTTGGCTCATACGGCAAAACGACCTCATATCCAAGTATTTTAATATTATTCGTATTGTTTCATCCTGCAAAAACAAAATATAAAATTTTAATACATAAGATTATATTATAATAAATTATTACAAAAAATAAACTTCGAATATTTTACAGGAAGCGCAAAAAAACTGTCCTCTTGCTCCTTGGATTCTCCCGAAGAGAGTTTGATATCTTCTATAAATTTTACATAATTCCAATGATTTCTTAATAAAGGGTGATATCCCTGTTTAAAAGATGGCATATCTTCCTTCCGAGATACTTGCTTGTGTGCGAGCTTGCTCTTGTGACTCGTTGCTATGTCGCTGCAAATAACATTGGAACACAAATTATTTCATTGTTAACACTGCACGGACAGCGTGTTTTTAAAAGCGTTTCTATTTTACGAAAAAACTATAAAAATTCATTGTATCATCTTTAACATTTCAAAAAGTGATTTCTACATAGACCGGAACTGTTGCAATTTCTTTTTTAAGTGTCGAAACGTCAGGAGAAAACTGTAAAATGCGAGTTTTGATAAATAATAGGATATTTTTTGAATGTGTGGCTAAAAAAAAAGTTGTTCAAGGGTTTTATAGTTCAATAATGGTACTTGAAAGGAAAATACACGAAGAGAACCCGCTCAAAAAAGTTGAATTATTGAAGCACTTGAAAATTGGTAATTTCGGTATACGGAAACAATGTTATTTGTTTGGAAAAGGTACTTCTTATTTATTATTTATAAGTAGAATCAATAAAAAAAAAAACATTAAAAACACGTAAAATGCAAAATTACTTATTCGTGGACAAAATTAACGAGGTAGAGCCAGTAATGCTAGACGGCAGACAGAATAGCATGCTACAGCATGTGGAGGGCACGGCTGTGCAAGGTACAGCGACGCACAAGCTCCACCATCTGTGTAGCCGACACGCTGAGCGTAACATGCTGTTCCGTCTGCCGTTTAACATCCGAGGTGGACACCCTGGGTTAAGAAAATAAAATAAGATTACTTAATGTCGACAAATATACAATACCTTTTATAAATAATGCAATATTTAGAAAATTCTTTTTGAAGATCAAGTATATCCAAGTATGCATTTTCATAATCACGTGTTGTATTATGAGGGTCAAACAATACAGAGGAATGCCAAGAGGGCCAACTTTCTGTGTCTTGAAAATTGTCTTGAATTCTTGAGAATTCTTCACAACAACGAGAAGAACAAAATCTCTCTGAACAAGAATGTCGTTGTGCCCGAATGCGGTGTAAAAGATTAGTTAAGCTCTTATCTTCAGGATTTTTAGGAAGAATCAATTTTGATGTACCGATCAGCATCACGGCATCTAGCTGTGTGCAAGAGTTGGATGTAAATTGTAATCTGAGCATCTTGGTTTTAAAGTTACAAGATCGTAACGGCGGAGAAAATATCCGTGATTCTGAACGTCTACGTTTGATTGGATGACAAATTTCATAGAATTGAGGCGGTCCAACCCATAATGGAAACCACCGACACTCATCTAAAGAATCTTGAGCCCAAACTTTAGTTACGTGCCCAAAATTATATACTTCATATATAGAGATTCTGATTGGATATACAGCTTCATGAAACTCGAGATCTTCAAAATAAAAAATTTAATTATAACCTTTCCTGAACACAAACATTTTCCTTAACAATATCTTATTTATCAAATCAAATGTTACATACCAATATTATGAAAATAATAATCTTTTTGATCCCCTGGTACCCAAGTATATGGCATTTGTTTCTGCCATGGAGATATTGAAATATCTAAATTATACGTCTCCTAGTATTAAAGAGTAAAAAAAAGTATTGAATATCACCAAATGTTGTAGCATAAATTAGATTTTGCGATTATATACTTTTTACAGAACAGAAAATACACATACCAAAAGAAAATCTTCATGGCTTGGAAAATTGCTAGGTATTCCAATTATATTATTACGAATATTACTTATGCTAGCAGCATTCTTACAGTTCTTTGTGGATGTATTGCTATCCTTTACAAATTGATATATGAAATCAACATAATCCTCTCCTACCGCTACTCTGTCAGTATAAGGATATCTGACATCATTTTCGCAATGTGAGGAATGATTATTGGATGTCATATTCTCTCTTAAAAAAGATGAAAAATATAAAGTATAATAGTAAATATGCAGAATAAGTGGCCTCCTCACCGATTTCGTTGAACTTAGGCTTAATCGACGCGTTTTTGCACAAAACGACCGATTAGGGCGTCTCATCACGTACATCAACTTTGGACTTACTTGGAGCTGACGTTGTGCGCGTGTACCGCTTGTAAATGTTCCTCTTTTTCCGCATGTAGCCGTTTGAGTTCTTGCTCCATCTCAATGATGTTCTTACGACTTTCGGCAGTTTCTTGGGTGGCGTTTTTTATGAGTTCCGACACGAGGCTTTCTTGAAGCGCCAGTTCCTTATTAATATTTTGCACCTCGTTGTTTCGCTCCGCTTGCCGTAAGGTGTGTTCCTCTTCCTTTTTGTCAAAGTAATCCAAACTGTCTTCGACATTGTTCGATTCCTCTACACGTACACGTTCCGCTACATCCTCCGCCACGTGTGAGACGCAATTTTTGGAGTTGGATATTTCATAATTTATAAGCTCTTCAGATGCTTTCCTTTCATCATTTTGGATATCTGTGCGGGTAAAATAAGAGAAGAGTTACAGACCAACCTCACACCAAAATTTATAATTTGCGACAATTAACGCAACGGTTCGCGTTGCGAAAAGCTCTTACCCAACATCTTTTCGTATATCGCTTTTAGTTTATTACGCCGTTCGTCATCGATTTCAGAACAAGTATCGAAATCTTGTAAAACTTGCTTGAATTCATCTAATAATAATGTCATGGCGAATCTATTTTTTTCTCGAGCTTGTTCTGCCATTTCCGCTCGTTCGTGCATAATTGCAATTTCTCCTAAATTCAAATTTAATTTTTCCAGCCTGTCTCTGAGTTTGTGCTGCAATACACGATATTTCTCCTCGAGTGCCTCATGCTCCTCGGGACACGTTATGCCGAGTTCTTGACTCATAATAAGGGCCAGCCGCAGTTCCTGAACCACGTTGTTCAAGCGATTGATCTCCGCTACTTTCGGATCTTGATTCACGATCGGCTTGTTCTTTATCTTGCGCGCACGATCGGCAGTTTCATCTAAATCATAATCTGCAAATCGATTTTTTATAATGACCTAATACGAATAAAATACGAATGGGCGCAGCTCTAATTAGACAGATAAACGGACAGGTTAGACAGGAGAGATTAGCATGCGAATACCAACCGGCTGGACTGACCAATATATATATATATATATATATATATATATATATATATATATATATA